CGCTTGTTGATTGAAGTTTCTGTAGCAAACGGAACACTTGAATTTCAGTGGTCGAGGACTAATATGAATTCGCATGATATGACGTTTCAAATCAACTTGCGTAGAGTAGAGTATTCTTTGCATAAAAAGCACTCGTAACGTTTAACTTTGCAATCGGTTTCATGTTCCAACTTGTCGTTGCTGTGGGAAAAGCCTTTCAAACAGATTGAACAACTGAATAGAAATTCGTTGACATGTGTTGTCATGTGCTTTTGAAGACCATCTTTTCTGGTGAATCGTTTTGGACACAAGGTGCATGGGAACGATTTTTCGCCGGTGTGCGTGAGAATGTGGTATTTCAAATAGCTTTTATGCGAAGTAGCATACTCGCACTTTGTACATTTGTGCTGTTTCCCACTTGGCTTCACTGCAACTCTGTCCTTTTTGCCACTGCAACTTTTGCTTTTGCAGACATCAATGCTTTTGGTTGCTTTGCCATTCGATGTAGTTGACTTTCGTTCATCCTTTTCCGACGATCGCTTCGGCACGTCACCTTGTTGGGCTCCATCAGAAGCACCTTCAGCTTTCGTTTCGATTTTTTCCGTTTTAACCTCTGGTTTAAATTCAACACCATCACAAACACCATCAAAATCGATTATGTCACCGTTTGGGTCACCAGCAATTGCATTATTGGGTCTATTGTTGGCCAATTCTGAAGTCGGCACCATGAGAATGCCACCTGCATCTTCTCTTTCTTCTTTGATCGTTGGCTCTGACTTTATGTCGGCCTCAGACAATGGCAATTCACTAGTTTCTGGCGGAATTTTGTTTGACCCATTTTTATCGGGTGGTTTGTCTCGACGACCATCCATCACAACTCACGTGCTGTCAATTAAAATCATTTATATTTTTTTAGCAAAGACAAATATTGTCAAAAGAATACAATAAAATCCATCACAATATTAACTCACCTTGAAATAAATCCAATAACAACGTAAATCTGAAGTTCAATCAATGTTTTCAATGCAAAATTAATATGTGAAACTTTTGTTGTGTGAATAACCAATATGGTGGTGGCGAACGAATAAAAATATTATATTATGTGTTGATGTTGTTAAAGCTCAGAGCATCAATATGCTGATGTAATGATGAAGTAGCAATGAACGCATACAATCACACAAGTTGTTAATATAGTCAATGTTCGAAAAGTATGAAAGAAGGGCTGTCGCTGATACAATCGAACTTCTTGCTGAGCAACTTGAGGTTTCGAAAATGGAATTAAATTTGATTTCAAAGAATCAAATAATTAAAAATCTGAAGTATTTTCAATCATACATGAATTTATGGAATTTTCGACACATAGAGTTATTGAATCGAAATTCTAAATGCGAGAAAGCTAGCGAAAAAGTATCGATAAAATGGATAAGAATTAGAATTAATTGAGAAACGATCAACGTTACGCTGATGTTGATGTATACAGTTTATGGGGAAAAGTCACAAATACAAAGCAAAGAACGCACACATTGTACTGTCAACATATTCGAAGTCTTTAGTGGATTTGTATGTGTCATCCTTAGAGCATACAGTATACATTGTACAAAGTAGAAGAAATTAGTCATTTCAAGAAAAAACACGTACAAACACCTTTTCAATAATTTACACAAGTACGCAAAAGAGGTAAATAGATTTTTTAATTTAATTTAATCTTCTGGATTAATTTCAATTTCTCACTTATTTCTTGTGAAATAAAAAAATATTCGAAATTAACGATACAAAAAAGGATTTACATTTGAACGCTGTAAAATAAAAACAACTACATTCGAACACAGAGTTTGTTTATTCATTTATTTGTTGGTCAAGCTTCTATACTTACTTTGTAGACAGTATATAATGTCATTCACTGTGCGACAAGTAACAGATCACGAGTAGCGTCAAAAGATTACAGCTTGCGTAATGTTGTAGGTTAAAAAAAACTTAACAAATATTTATTTTCAGTGAAATAACATTCATTTATTGACAACGGCGAATTGAATAAAATTATTAATATCTTTCGCTTTTTGAACAAATAGCAAAACTTTGCGCCCTAACGTTTTGACTTTGTGGTGTATCACAGCGCACGGTCCATTCAATGTTATTGACCGGATGACTTCCAGCTATAAACACCCAGCCAATACCTGCAACCACACTTTCACAATTTCCTCCACCACCCAATAGTTTCGTACCGTCAGGACAACGCGCAGTTGCCACCGGCCAACGGAACGCGACCGCTTCAGCTTTTATAATGTCACAAGCAATTTTCTATCAAGAAAAATTTATTAAACACAAAAATTGATTAAAATTACATTTTCTTACCTCGGAAGCAAGTGCGAAATAAATAAGCAAGAGAGCCGACATCAATTTCATGATTTTGTTGCTATGAATTCTATCTAATTTACAGGAAAATTATATAAACTCAATATATGAGTAATAACACACTGATTTTTGTAAACTGAATTAAAATCTGAAATGTTCTTGTCATTTATAAGGTCTCATTTCATTGTGTGAATCACATAATATGATAAGACAGTATCAGCTCGCACTACCAGATGAATCATACGCCAAAAATCGACGCTAATAAAGAACACCACACTTTCAATATTTTTCCCCTTTACGCTTACACATCTGGCGTTCCTTCAAAATCTCAATTTTTTCGCCTTCATAATGAAATGTGTTTTTTACCTTTCTGGAGATTGATCAAATTGAATATCATACGCTGTTTCCAGTTTCTCTGGTGCAATTATTCATAAGTTATATTAATCATTTTATGTGATAAATCAAAAACATTGCGACAGTATCAACGCAAAGTGCAAGAAATCAATGTTTCATTAAGTAAAACATTTTAGTTAGTTGTATTTAGATTTATGACTAATTTCAGTGAATAAACTGGTAAGTTTTGCAAATAAAACAAGGATCAAAATACACATTACTTACAATGATTGTAAATTACAACTTCTAATCATAAATAGACGAAAATAAAGTGGCACATGAAAGTGTGTAGCGAAAAGGTCAACCAATACATTCAAGGGATCGTTATCGTAAAGTTGCCTGTTTGTTTATTTGCTTCGCATAGAAAGACAAGAGAATGACTGACAAAAGAGAAAGAGAGAGAGAGAGAGAGAGAGAGAGAGAGTAACAGACATGTATAGTTCCTTTGCTTTCATTCATTGTGTGTCGCTGTGTTAATCATACAACATCACCCTGTAACCTTTTGGAGCTACTCGAATCTGTAAGATCAACACATGAACGAAAGCAAAGGAACCATAAGCATCTGTTACTCTCTCTCCTTTCTTTCTCTTTTCCTTTCGCTCTCTTCCTCACTCTTTCTATAACATGCAATAACGAAGCAATGATGTCCATGTGCCAATTAATGTTCGTCCCGTTATCATTACAACTATTGCATGCGCTGTGTATTTTGCAGAGCAGTATACTGGCTGGATATTTATCTGCTGCTATTTTCAGTTATTTATCTGCTGCTATATCAGCTGGATATTTATCTGCTGCATTCTTAGCAGCTGAGCGCATTATTTTACGTGTGTGTATGTATCTCACAGGCGATAGAATGAAGTAATTCACACTGTCACGCACCTTGTGCCAGTGACGCTACGTCACTACTGAGAATAGCATCTAAAAATATCAGCAGATAAATATCTAGCCATAATACTGCTTTGGTATTTTGAACCTTATTTGCAAGGCGTACCAGTGCTGTTCGTTACTGAAAGGAGTCATCAATCAATCAATGGTTTACTTAATGAATCATTCATTTTTTGCACTTTGCGGCATTGACGTGAGTGTGATACTGTCGCAAATTGCGACTCGCAATGCATTTATATTTATTAATAATTTATGAATAATTGAAAATGATAGGTCGGAAACAGCGTTCGATATTCAATCAAGCTTTGCTAGCCATAAAAGTAAAAAAAAATATTGAAGCCGAGAAAGTTACAATTTGGAAGGAACATCAGCAGGATTACATTTAAGATTATCATTGCGAGCGTAAAAAGAAAAAAAGCGTTGAAAACGTATATGCTACTGCTCTTTATTGGCGGAGAATCAACTTGATATATCATCAAGCTTTAAAATCGGTGTCGGTTTGCTTGCTTGTGACACACATAAGTTATGTGACATAACTCAAGCAAGATAACGTCTATCAAGTTGAAATTTTTTCGGGCCTCTGAGCCCGACATATGTTCATTTTTGTAAAAGAAAATTCAAATTCCACTTGTTTATATACACTGATACATTAAGCATTACTTCCAAATACATTATAATTTTGCTTGATTTTGCTATAGCAGTGTATTTTGTGTATGAAAGTTTCATCTGTTCGTATGACCTGATACCGTCTTATCACATTATGTGATTCACATAACGAAATGAGTTCAGACCTTATAAATGACAAGAACGTCTCACATTTTAATTCAGTTCACGGTTTAATCACAATGATCGCAATATACATTTTACCATTTCTCCTTGGTACTTTATGTCATGGAGTGTGCGCAAATGAATCGAATTCACCGAGAGCCGTTCAATTTGTGAGCCCTGTTAATCATACATTTCAATTGGAATTGAATGAATTAAAATCAATTTTGGAAAATGAAAATATTAAAAATCATCACGTTGTTGTTGTGTCCGTTGCTGGTGCATTTCGTCAAGGAAAAAGTTTTTTGCTCAATTTTTTCATCAAATATTTGGACGCTCAGGTGAGACCCCGACTTCAATCTTTTCACATTTCAATTTTGACTTTACAATTTTTTTGTCGTTTTAACAGTATAAAAAACACGATGTAACCGATTTTCTGGGAGAAAATGACATCAACACCCGATTAAATGGGTTCAAATATCGCAGCGGTAGAAAACCAGAAACAATTGGAATTTGGATTTGGTCTGAGGTTTTTACGCATGAATATTCAAATGGCGAAAAGGTGGCGATCATTTTAATCGATACACAAGGAATTTTTGATAGCAAAAGCAGCATACATGATTGTACAGTTATTTTTGCGTTGAGTACGCTTCTATCATCGGTTCAATGTTACAATTTAATGCAAAACATTAAAGAAGATGATTTACAATATTTGGACCTGTTTTCACAGTATGGCCGTCTTTTGGTGGAACAAAATACAAATGAAAAACCATTCCAAAAGCTAATCTTCATCATACGAGACTGGCCATACGCTTTTGAAACGAATTATGGATGGGATGATCATAAGGTCATTGTCAACGAAACTCTTAATCCAGATGAAGACCAAACACAAGATATGCATCAATTAAGATCGCGCATTCGAAGTAGTTTTGAAGAAATCAACGCCTTTTTAATGCCACATCCTGGATTGATTGTTGCACAAGGATCCGGTTTTACGGGTAGTTTAGAACAGATTTCAGCCGATTTCAAGCAGTACGTGAAATTATTGGTGGCCGGTATTTTTGCGCCTGAAAAGTTGCAAGTGAAAAAGATCAACGGACAAATATTGAGAGCACGAGATTTGATACAATATTTACAAGCATACACGAATGTGTTTAATGGTGACACATTACCCGCACCAACGACCGTTTTTAGGGTATGTTTTATTCGTATCTTTTGAATTATGAATAAATTATTTTGTTTAAATAGGCTACAGCAGAAACAAGCAATCAAATTCTGTACACAGACTGTTTGAATAACTATATGGACGCCGTGCAGAAATCAATTATCGAAGTTAAATTATATTTTAGTGAAAGTGAATTCTTTCAAATCCATTCCACCGCAAAGAATACAGCTATTTCACAGGTTTGGTCGATTCATTTATAAATTTTTTTGCTGAAAATCTCATTTTTCGCTGCAAAACTCATTTTTTTTCTACTAAAAATCTATTTTTTGCCAAAATATTTCTCTAAATAGTTTTTGAGTAAACCAAAACTTGGTGGCCAGGAATTTGCGACTTCTTTCCGAAATAAACTTGAAAATTCCATAGAAGAGAAATTCATTTCATTTAAATCCGAAAATGAACGAAAACGACTCGATTTTATTGTAAGTTTGAGCATTTTGACATTTTTTTCTAAGACATTCTACTTTATCGCACACATCAAATGCCATTTTTATTGATTGATTACAGCAAAAAGCAAATTTGTATAATGATAAAGTTGGTCGTGAAGCATTTAACTCAGCCAAGCAAAAGGCGCATAACGAGATTCTTGCATCAAATTTGGAGAATTTTAATTTACACAATGTCTGTTCAACAGTAAAATGGGCTGCTTTGGCGGAGGTTTGTGTATTTATTTTTCTTCTTCCTTTTTTCTGTTCTCACTCAAAATGCCTTCGAATTTTAGTTTGATGAAAAGAAATTGGGAAATGCAGACATCGCTGTCAGTTTTCGTGAAAAACTGTTGCGAGACTTGGAAAACTTCGAATCGGACCTATTTAAAACGCTCGAAGCGTTCAAACAGAGTCAAAATCACTATAGCAGTTCAATGCAACGATCTCTTGACCAAGTCGAATACCTCGAACACGGTAATCTTTGGCAACAACATCAACGGGTGAAGAATGAAGCCAATGCACAGGTTTGGTCATCAATTTCCAATCTTTTTAACCCAAATTTACGCTTTAATTTGTTACTATTTTGCTACAGTTTCTGGGAAAATCAATCGATGGCGAAATTAAGGTTACGATTCAGCAAAAACTTGATAAATTCATCGAAGAAAAGTTTCCCTCATTTGACGAACAGAATAAAACAAAGCGTCGAAATTTTATGGCAAGTATTTTGTCACTTTTTGTATTTCTTTATGTAAATTTCTTTCGTTTCGTTTTCCTTCCATAAATATTGAAACAATTTCTCGTGTAAATATGCAGAAAGTTGAGACTGAACTGGTTAGAGCTGAAGTAGTTGCTTTTCGCTGGCCCGTGGCGGTTGCACGTTGTCCCAGTGGTTCAAGACTAGTTGGTGGCGGGGGAAATTGCAGAAGTATTACACCCGTGGGTTGGGTATTTGTAGCCGGAAATTTTCCAGCAAATGACTACGAATGGATTGTACGGTGCGATACTCCAGAGAGGCAAAATGTCATGGGCGAAAGCTGGGCTATTTGTGTGAAAAATGAACGTTTTTAAAAATAGAATAAATTTGATGGAATAAGAACTTGTTTTAATTTTTTTTAATTTTCCGCAAAGCATATTCGCTCTCAATTTGACAGCTCATCAATTCGTCGCTTCAGCAAAATATAATTGGCGCCACTGATTGCGTCTTTCGTGCATCACTCCATATATTACGTCATTGTATCATCATACTTCATCGTGTGCGGATCAAACATTTTGGTCTCTCTATGCAGCTCAAGGCATTCAAATACACTAAGTGCATATCTATCGATTTTATTACAATCCAAAACAGCCACTATCGAATTTTTATCTAAAGAAAATAAATTTTCATCACAAAATTTAAGAGTAAAAATTTTTCGGTGTTATTCTAGTTCTTCTGTTGTACACGTACACACATACACGAAGGTGAGTAAAAATGGTTTGTTCTAAAAAACAAAACTGAACCATTTTATTTTTATAAAATTGTAAGAAGGCTGTTTCCATTGAAATCCGCTTGAAATAATTGTTAATAAATCGTCAAATTGAAGTCTATTGAAATTTACATGACAATCAACATATTCCGATTCTCGGAATAAAAAGGCAACATGGCGTCTATTGCCACTAAACATACATAACGAAAGAATGAAATAATCCATAATCGTGTGAATTGAGTGATCAATAGAGGCCATATTGAATTCCGATAAATTTCTTGACATTCCATATTTATTTTAATTGCTTCAGAATAAGTGGAATAATTAATAAAATTCCAAACATTTATTCTTGTTTTGTATTTACTTTTGTGCCTAATTCAGGAAAACGATGAATCCATTTCGATGCAAGGGTGTTAGTGGCAGAAAGGTTGGCCACAAGTGCAAATGCAAGCCAAATTGTTCACAAATCACGGTGAAGGAAGAAGTCAAAGAAGAGCCGAATGATATGATTCAGTACTCACCGCCACCATCGCCAATTGGAACGGGTGCTACCATCAAATCGGAGAGCGAGAGTGACGACGATTGTATACAGAACGTTGTCAAGGATGAAATCAAATGTGAAGATGAATGTGTAAAGAAGGAATGCGGCACAGCACACGATGATGGCGAAAGTGGAATCGACGAAAATGGTCTAGTTGATGCTAATGCTGACAATCCAAACCGTGATGATATGCCGCACACATCAAATGGCAATGGAAAAAAACCAAAAGTTGTGAAAAAAGTACGCAAGGGCAAAACAACAAAGAAATCAAAGGTCGCACCAAATCTGAAGAAGCACAAGTGTAATGTATGCAATTATTTGGCATCGCACAAGTCAATACTCACAGGGCACATGCGGGTTCACACCGGTGAGAGACCCTTTGCTTGTGAAGTATGTGCAAAAGCTTTTAAAGAGAAGAGTAAAATGAAGCGCCATAAGAAAGTCCATGTAGCCGAATTACCATTCTGTTGTTCGAAGTGCCGAATTGACTTCACAGAAGAAATCGACAAGATAAACCACGAAAATAAATGCAAACGACCCCAATACCAATGCCATGTATGTAAAAGCACAACTTCGAATTTGTCACATCTGAAAGAACACATGCGAATCCATAATGGTGTGAGACCATTCAAATGCCGTGTTTGCTCCAAAACATTTACTATGAAACATCATCTAAATGTGCATTTACGCACCCACGTTGAACAACTGCCATTCAACTGCCAGAAATGTGGCCAGCGATTTGGTGACGAAAACCAGAAGAAATCGCATGAAGATCGTTGCAACCGTCGCCGATACAATTGTTATCTATGTCAGTACAAATGTTTTAACAAATGTCATTTGCAGCAGCACATGCGATCAAAGCACACCGATGAAAAACCTTTTTCGTGTGGTATTTGTCAAAAGGCATACCGTAGAAAACATGGTCTTAAGCAACATTTGACAACACACAACAGAAAACAACCGATTCGTTGCTCAAAATGCTGGAAGATGTTTGCAGAAGAATGCTACAAGAAGGCACACGAAGAACGATGCAAACGACGAACCTACCAGTGCTATTTATGCAAAATTGTAAAGCAAGATTCACAACAATTGAAAGGTCATACACGAACTCACCACACTGGCGTTAAACCATTTTCATGCAAATTGTGTGGAATGTGCTTTACATGGCGATGTGCTGCCAAACGACACATGAAAAATATTCATTACATCAAGAAGTAATGTTGAATTCACATCAGCCAACTTATTTGATTCGTTGCAAAATGGTAAACTAACTTCAAAAATATTTGTAATTCCTAACTACGAGGGTCACTATTTAAGTTTTTTCAAAAACATATATAAGACAATGGGGTTTCATCGAAAATGGTTTTATTGTTTTTCAAAATATTCGCCATGATGATCAATACACTTTTGCATTCGCTCGAACCATTTGTCATAGCATTCATGCCACTCCGAAAGTGATATCTCCAAAACGTGTGTTTTGAACGCATCAACTGCTTCTTCGGGCGATGAAAATCGTTCACCACGCAGTTTATTCTTCACGCTCGGGAATAAAAAGAAATCGTTGGGTGCCAAATCAGGACTGTACGGCGGATGACCCATTAAATCGATCTTTTGACCGGTCAAATAATCGACTGTTTGATGAGATGTGTGAGAGCTCGCATTATCATGATGAAGAATTATTTTGCGACGGCGGTTGTTTTTTCTTATTTCACCAAACACTTCGGGCAAACAAATGGTGGTGTACCAATCAGAATTGACGGTCTTACGAGCCTCTAGTGGAACTGTTGCCACATGACCACTTATCGCGTAAAAACAGGCGACCATTTGCTTCGCAACACTTCGAGCTCGAACAACTTTTGTTGGGTTATCTTCACTTTGAAAGACCCATACAGTCGACTGCTGTTTAGTTTCGGGCTCATACGCGTAGATCCATGATTCGCCACCAGTGACGATAAAATACACGGATTTTGAAACACCACGATTGAATTTCTTGAGCATTTGTTTACACCAATCGACACGAGCCTTTTTTTGAGCGATTGTCAAATTATGTGGTATCCAACGAGAGCAAATCTTTCTGACAGCTAAATGTTCATGTAAAATCTTAAATACGCTGGTCGCACTAATGCCCAGGGATGCCTCAATCTCGTGATATGTTACATGACGATCTTCCATTATCATATTTCTGACAGCATCGATGTTTTCTGGTACAACAACTGATTTTGGACGACCTTCGCGGAACTCGTCGATGAGCGATAGGCGACCGCGCTTGAATTCGTTGTACCAATTATAAATTGTCCGAAGACTTGGTACTTCATCGTCAAAGGCCAAATGAAGTTGATCAAAACACTGTTGTTGTGATACACCCAATCGAAAGTGGAAAAAAATAATCGCTCGAAAATTTTCACGAGTAAAATTCATTTTTTGGCTGAGACGCAATTTACATGTTACGGTAAACAATACAAATAACGATCGAATGACAAAACGTTCTGAGAACGTTTATGCTACAAAATGTTAAACTTAACGAATATGACAATGGTTTGCATCGGGCAATACTAAAACATACATATTGAAGAAACTTAAATAGTCGCCTACGTAATACTTAATCAGAACAATCGAATAAGAAACATGTTCATACGGTAAAACAAATAATTCAACTGTTGCTATACTTTTGCATAAAATAAATCAAATATGCATTACAAAAAAGAGTAGTTTTTTATCTCAATATGAAATAAGGTCCCTCCATTAAAATTGTTTTGAAATTAATAATTAGGATCAAGTGTTATGCAAGTAAAAAAGACTCATAAAAGACTCATTCAAAATTGAGGACGAACATCCAATGATGGTGGAGAATAAAATCTTGTTAAAGCTGGCAGAAAAAAGTATTTACGGACATTTACAAGCGTTCCAATGACTAAAATCAAGCAGTCAATTTGATAAATTGCGATTGATTTTCGGTGAAATAAAAAGTCTTACGGGAGTAAGACGAACTTTTCCGCACTGTGGTAGTTGCGTATTTTATTAAGAAAGTTCAAAATAATATTTGTTCGATTTTTCAAGCCTTTCAAGCGTCGTAAAGTTCGAGACCAAAAAATATGTTTCAACTTTGGCAACGAAATATTTTTTAATTTAATAGCAGAAGTACCCGAGAAAAGATTTTTCACACTTTCATGATGAACCCATTTGTACGACATTTGAAAGTATTCTATTTTCTAACAAAATACTATAAAAAATATGTCTGACGTTAATTTTGCCATAAAAATTATTTTTGAAACACTTTCCATAACTAAAGTCACAAAAAATTTGGATCTTTGTATGGGAGCCATGTCTGTATGCTATATTAATGGTGTGAAACTTTGCACAGGTTATTTTTTCACAAAAAAATAACATTCGTAGGGTTTGGAGAAATTTCAACCAAAATTAAGGGTACCTCCCATACAAAATATTCGTTTTTGAGCCAAAAATTTAAAATTTTGTATGGAAGGTACCCCTAACTTTGATCGAAATCTCTTCAAACTTTCAGAATGTTATTATTTTGTGTAAAAAATAGTCTGTGCAAAGTTTCACGTCATTAAAGTATCATACAGGCATGGCTCCCATACAAAAATTCAATTTTTTGTGACTTTTACAAGGAAACTGTATTAAAAAATATGTCTGACGTTAATTTTGCCATAGAAATTATTTTTGAAACACTTTTCATAACTCACAAAAAAATAACATTCGGAAGGTTTGGAGAAATTTTAACCAAAATTAAGAGTACCTCCCATGCAAAATATTCGTTTTTGAGCCAAAAATTGAAAATTTTTTATGGGAGGTACCCCTAATTTTGATTGAAATCTCTTCAAACTTTCAGAATGTTATTTTTTTGTGTAAAAAATAGACTGTGCAAAGTTTCACGTCATTAAGGTAGCATACAGGCATGGCTCCCATACAAAAATTCATTTTTTTTTGTGATTTTTTCAAGGAAACTGTTTTAAAAATTGATTGTATCTCAAAAATAACCTCAGATTCGGTTTTCTCGTGCCAAAAAACCCCCCAATACATATTTTTGAATGTTTAAGTCCACATTAAGTATGACTTTTGGACGAAAATTGG